AAAAACTGGGAAAAGAAATATGAGACATACAACACAGAGTCAACAGCTTGGAAAAGGAAGGATAAATATTGAATGTAGAACACAATTCTTTAAAAAAATACAATTGGCCAAGTGGAAAAAGAGGTACAAAAGCTAACTGAAGAAAACAATTCGTTAAAAACTAGAACTGGACAAGTGGAAGCTAATGATTCTGTGAGACATCAAGAATTAGTCCAACAAAATCAAAAGGATGAAAAAATACAAGAAAATGTAAAATACATCATTAGAAAAACAACTGACCTGGAAAATAGATCCAGGAGAGATAATTTAAGAATTATGGGTCTGAAAGCCATGATCCAAAAAAAATAAAATTAAATAAAAATTAAAAAAATTAAACAACAACAAAAAGCCATGATACGAAAAAGGAGCCTGGACAGCATCTTTCAAGAAATTATCAAGGAAAACTGCCCTGAGGTCCTAGAATCAGAGGTTAAAATAGTCACTGAAAGAATCACCTCCTCAAAGAGACCCCAAAGGGAAATTACCAAGGAATATTGTAGCCAAATTCCATAATTATCAGGTCAAGGAGAAAACACTGCAAGCAAACAGAAAGAAACTATTTAAATATCATGGAACCACAGTCAGGATTATGCAGGACTTAGCAGCTTCTACATTAAAGGATCACAGGGCCTGAATTTATGATATTCCAGAAGGCAAAGAAGCCTGGATTATAACCAAGAATTAACTATCTAGCAAAACTGCGTATAATCTTTCAGGGGAAAAGACGGACGTTCAATGATACAGGGGATTTTCAATCATTCTTGATTTAAAAACAAAAAAACTAAAACTGAACAGAAAATTTGATCTTTCAAATACAAGACTCAAGAGAAGCAGAAAAAGGTAAACAGGAAAGAAAAAAAGATGTTATTCAATAAGGTTAAACTGTTTATATCTCTACATGGGAAGATGATACTTGTAATTCTTGAGAACTGTATCTTTATTACGACATTTAGAAGGGATATACATAGACAGAGGGCATGGGAATAAGTTGAATTTGATGTGGTGATAAAAATAATTAATTAAGGGGTTAAAAAAGGATTAAACTGGGAGAAAAGCAAAGGGGGAGACAGAATAGGGTAACTTACATCACAGGAAGAGGCACAGACCTATTACAGTAAAGAGAAAGAAGGGAGGGGAGCAAACATTGTTTGAACCTTATTCTCATCAGATTTGGCTCAAAGAGTATAACACATATTCAGTTGGTTATAGAAACCTATCATACTCTACAGGAAGTAGGAGAGCAAAGGGGAAAGAAAAGAGAAGGAGTAGATAGAAGACAGGGAAAAGAGAGATAAGGAGTAGTAGGGGAAAGGAGAAAGAAAAAAGAAGGTGGCTGATAGAAGGGAGGGGAGATTAAGGGTGGTAGTGGTCAGAAGCAAAAGACAAATGAAGAGGGAAAACATGAAAGGAGAGAGAAAAGTATAAATGGGAGGAAAACAGGATGTAGAGAAAGACACAATTAGTAATCACAACTGTGAATGTGAATGGGATGAACTCTTCTATAAAACAGAAGCAGTTAACAGAGCGGATTAAAAACCAGAATCCTACAACATGTTGTTTACAAGAAACACAATTGAAGCAGAGAGATACACACAGAGTAAAGGTAGAAGGCTGCAGCAGAATATATTATGCTTTGGCTGGAAAAAAAAAAAGCAGGTGTTGCAATCCTGATCTCAGACAAAGTAAAAGCAAAAATTTGATCTAATTAAAAGAGATAAGGAAGGAAAACGACATCTTGCTAAAAGGTACCACAGACAATGAATTAATATTATTACTAAACATATATGCACCAAGTGGTATAGCATCCAAATTCTTAGAGGAGAAGTTAAGTGAGTTACAGGAAGAAATAGACAGCAAACTATACTAGTCAGGGATCTCAACCTCCTCCTCTCTGAACTGATAAATCTAACAACCAACATAAACAAAAAAGAAGTTAAGGAGGTGAACAGACTTTTAGAAAGGTTAGATATGGTAGATCTCTGGAGAAAACTGAATGGGGATAGAAAGGAATATACCTTTTTCTCAGCAGTATATAGCACCTACACAAAAATGGACTATGTACTAGGGCATAAAAACCTCACAATCCAATGAAGAAAGACAGAAATATTAAATGCATCCTTTTCAGATCATGATGCAATAAAAATTACATGTAATAAAGGGCCATGGAAAGATGGACTAAAAATTAATTGGAAACTAAATAATCTAATCCTAAAGAATGAGTGGGTCAAACAACAAATCACAGAAACAATCAATAACTTCACCCAAGAGAATGACAATAATGAAACAATATACCAAAATTACGGGATGTAGACAAAGAGGTTCTTAGGGGAAATTTTATATCTCTAAATGTTTACATGAATAAAATAGAGAAAGAAGATATCAAAGAATTGGGCATGCAACTAAATATCAAATTAGAAATTCTGAAAATTAAAGGAGAGATTAATAATATTGAAACAAATAAAACTAAGAGCTAGTTTTATAAAAAAAACCAAACCAATAAAATAGACAAACCTTTGGTTAATTTGATTTAAAAAAAGAAGAAAAACAAATCACCAGTGTCAAAAATGGAAAGGGTGAATTTACCACCAATGAAGAGGAAATTAAAACAATGGTTAAGAGCTATTTTGCCCAACTGTATGTCAATAAATCTCACAATCTAAATGAAATGGATGGACATTTACAAAAGTATTAATTGTCCAGATTAACAGAGGAAATAAGACACTTAAATAACTGCATTTCAGAAAAAGAAACTGAACAAGCCATCAATGAACTCCCTAAGAAAAAATCTCCAGGGACAGATGGATTTATAAGTGAATTCTATCAAACACTGAAAGAACAATTAATTCCAATACTATGTAAACTATTTGGAAAAACAAGCGAAGAAGGAGTCCTATCAAATACTTTTTATGATAAAAGTGATGCTGATACCTAACCCAGAAAGAGCCAACATAGAGAAAGAAAATCATAGACCAACTTCCCTAATGAATATAGACGCATTTTTAAAATTTTAAACGAAATATCAGCCAAGAGTTTACAGCAATATATCATGACAATAATATACTATGCTCAGTGGGATTTATAGCAGGAATTCAGGGCTAGTTCAGTATTAGGAAAACTATCAGCATAATTGACCATATCAATAACAAAATTAACAGAAATCATATGGTTATCTCAACAGATGCAGAAAAAGCTTTTGACAAAATACAGCACCAATTTCTATTAAAAAGGATGAAACTATAAGCAAATGAGGAGAGCAAGGAACAGTTTACCTGTCAGACCTATGGAGAAGGTAAGAAGTTATGACCAAACAAGAGATAGAAAACATTATGAAATGCAAAACGGATAATTTTGATTACATTAAATTAAAAAGGTTTTGCACAAACAAATCCAATGCAACCAAGATTTAGAAGGGAAGCAGAAAGCTGGGAAATAATTTTTACAGCCAGATCTCTGATAAAGGCCATATTTGAAATTATATGTGTGTGTGTGTGTGTGTGTGTGTGTGTATACATATGTATATATATATATGTGTGTGTGTGTGTGTGTGTATATACATATATATAATACACACACACACACACACACACACACATATACAGAGAGAGAGAGAGAGAGAGAGAGAGAGAGAGAGAGAGACAGAAAGAACACAGTCAAATCCATAAGAATACAAGTCACTCTCCAATCGATAAATGGTCAAAGGATAGGAACAGGCAGTTTTCAGATGATGAAATTAAAGCTATCTATAGCTGTATTAAAAAATTCTCTAAATCACTACTGATTAGAGAAATGCAAATTAAAACAACGACTCTGAGGAACCACATCACACCTATCAGATTGGCTCTAACATGACAAAACAAGAAAATGCTAAATGTTGGAGAAGACATGGGAAAATTGGAACACTAATGATTGTTGGTGGAGTTGTGAACTGATCTAACCATTCTGGAGAACAATTTGGAACTATGCCCAAAGGGCTATGAAATTGTGCATACCCTTTGATCCAGCAACACCACTACTGGGTCTGTATTCCAAAGTGATCATAAAAAAGGGAAAAGGACCCACATGTACAAAACTATTTATGGCTGCTCTTTTTGTGGTAGCAAAGAAGTGGAAGTTGAGGAGATGCCCATCAATTGGGGAATGGTTGAATCATTGTGGTATATGAATGTAATGGAATACTATTGTTCCATAACAATGGTGAGTAGGAAGATTTCCCAAAAACCTGGAAAGACTTGAATGAACTGATGCTGAGTGAAGCAAGCAGAACCCAGAGAACACTGTACATGGGTAACAGCAACACTGTGCAATGACTTTGATAGACTTAGCTCTTCTTAGCAATGCAATGATCTAAGAAAATTCCAAAAGACTCCTGATGGAAAACGCTATCCACATCTAGAGAAAGAACTATGGAGTCTGAATGCGGATTGAGGCATACTATTTTCTCTTTCTTTTTTTGTTTTTTGTTTTTTCTTTCTCATGGTTTTCCCCTTTTGTTCTGATTCTTCTTTCACAACATGACTAATGTAGAAATATATTTAATATGATCATACAGGTATAGCCCATATCAGACTGCATGCCATCTTGGGGAGGAGGGGTTGGGAGGGAGGGGATTTAGAACTCAAAATCGTACAAAAGCAAACGTTGAAAACTAAAAATACATAAATATTTAGATTTTTTAAAAAAGAAAGAAAATTGCAGATATGACTTTATAAAAACTATTTACTTCTAGTAAAAAAATCCTTCAAAGAATAAGAACATTACAGAATAATCAATAGAAAACAATTTCTATATTAGCCTTTTGAAATAAAAGAAAAGAACTCTATATTGGAACTCATAATGATCGACCGACCCATCTACTTTAGAGAGGAAATAGTTTTTATCAACCAAGGACATCTTCATGTTAAAAAAAAAAATTAAAACCATAGTAAAATTTCCCAACCAAAAAATAACAAAAACAAACATACTCTACCACTGTGCAATTCCACTCCATAGAATTCTAGCGTTCGGGCAATGTTAATAAAGCAGGATTCTGCTTCAGATTGCTTTAGGCCACTAGAGAAAACAAAAATAAAAAAGAGACTTAATGAGAATGGGAAAGAGTAATTCAATAAGCAGACAAAAGAGAAATTACGGAAATGATTAATTGAATTTTCATAACCAAATCAACCAAATTTGATAATCATCTTTGCATGCTTGTTATATACCTCAATTTTAATGCCATTAATTTCAAAAGAAAGCAAAAATTTTATTAAAATGAAGCGATCAATTTCATCTACTTACTATGATCTCAACTTTCTCTACCACTCCTACAATTAAATGGCCCATCTTATTTACTGGTCCATCACTGTTCAATTATAATTACCCATGTCTTTTTACTTATTTGAAGCTACTCAATTTAAATCCAAACTGATTTTCTGTCTTTATTCCTTGGAGAGTTCCAATGTCGGAACTCCCAAAGGCAATGTTACACACAAAGTACAGTCTTAGAGATTCTAAGAAAGATAAGTATTTTGAAGGCTCCTTTTAGAAGCTCTTTTTAACAACCTAGTCCTTGCTTTTAGCTTTCAGAATCTGAAGTATACTTATGTCTGTCAACAAAGTCAACACCTACTCTTTTATTATGATTTAATTTGGCCCGAATCCGAGCAACTGCAAATAGGGAAGAAATGCTTAGTCATTCTTCCTTTTAAAATAGTGACAAGAAGAGATTCTCCTATTGAAAAGAAATCAATAACAAAACATGTCTGCATGTATTTACACATAGTGGAATTACTATAGGTACTCTTTGAGACTACTCTAACATCAATGGGATGATCATGAATGTATTTGATTACTACAGGGAAATATAAGAAAAGAATTCACAAGTTTACACTTCATCTAATATGTATTTTAAAAGACCATAGCCATCTGAATCATCCAAAAAAGTCCTAGAAGTTATGAATTGCCAAAAGGGGAGAAACACACACACACACACACACACACACACACACACACACACACACACACACACACATCCTTTGGCAGCTGAGGTGTAATTTCCAAACCTATGATTTCACCAGAGTACTGAGCTTCAAGTACGCTAACTCCTTCATAAGACACAGACAATTCTGTAACTTAAGTCTCAAAAAATTGTCTGTAATGTTGAGAAGATAAGTAACTTGCTCATTTTCACCAACAGAGTTTTTATCAGAGGCAAAATTTAAACTCAGATCTTTCTGACTTGAAGGCCTGTCTTTTTGTCTAGGCTGTCTCATGAGATATGTACTTATCTATTTTAATGGACCTGTGATTTCATTTAGTAGAAAACTCCCACTGAATAAACTTCTCAACCAACGCTGATAGACACTGGTAATTTATAGTCTTAAGAGTGTGTGTGGATTAAAAGTATCTTGACCAGGGACACACAGCCATTATGTGTCCAACAGACGCAGGACTTTAAAACCCAAGTCTTTCTGATTGAAAGTTCCATGAGGGCAGGGAATATCTTTGCTTTTATTTGTATTTGTAACCCCAATGCTTGGCACATAATAAACTCTTAATAAATGTTTACTAATTGAATAACTATTCACCAAAATATACTTCTTTTCCGTATGTGTACAAATAGCTAATGTTTAACATAGGAATATGCTAGTTTGAGGTGAAATTTATTACACAGTACAGTTATATTCTGGATGTGTCTTATATATGCTTGATAATACCTTGTACATTTGGGTATTTTTAGTGTCTGAAAGAATATTTTGTAATTTTAAATCAATACAGAGGAGTACAACTTTTGTATCTTGGCCTCTATGACTGATCTACAATGTTCCCTTTTTCAGGAGCATAACTCCCAATTATACCATTAGTGCTTGAGGAAAATATAACCTGCTTTTCAATGATACCCTTTATGACAATAAAATCATAATATCAATTTTATATTGCCATCAGTATTATTCTTAGGATTCACACAATGAGGGAAAATCCCAAAGAGGGAGAAACTCAGGTTTTTAAAAGTCACTAGGAGCAGAAGTGATTTTAAAATGTACATAAAACTGTTCTTCAGAAATGTAGGGGATTGAGGACAGCAAATGATATAGTAGCATACTGCACCCAAAAGCCCTGATAGGAAACAAAGCAGTAATATGGGGGAAAGGTTTATGGATGTGGTATCAGGGGTGTTAGATGTTTTGTGAGATGGGATGGACAGGGCACGTTTTGGTTGATCATGAGAGAAAACGGCACTAAGATTCATTGTTACAGTTTTTCAATTCAGATTCCATAAAGAATATCTAGTTATACCAGGAGTTGGCTCTAGGGACTCATTAAAAAAAAAAAAAAGGAAGTATCAAAAATGATACCTTTATTTTCATAAGGACAAACAACTAGATATAAATTTATGGAGAAAGCTGAGGTCATTTTGGATGGCCCAAGAGACAACCTAATTTGGCCTCCAGCCAAAACTCGGAAAATGCTCTAGGAAGATCTAGGACCTTAAAACAAAACAAAACCAAACAAAGCAAAAAAAAATCCAAGAACATGAGTTCTGCTTAGAATGGGAGAAGAGTCAAGTACTAGAGTAATTTATCAAAAGTTGTACCTAATACAAGGTACTTAGGAGTGTACAACAAATTCCCATTTCTAAAGGTTTGCCTCATGTTTAGAATTCTGAATTTCAAATCTCAGATTGAAAAATACACTAATGCTCACTTAGCCCAACCTCTCAGCTAATGAAAAGATCCCTGAATCCAGACTCTGCTTGTATCATCTGATGAAGAAATATCTAATGAGAAAGCCACTCCATTAAAATAAAACACAAAAAAACCTTCGAACTGGAAGTCTGTCTTCCTTATATTGGGCCACAGATTTCTCTTAATTAGCTTCAGTATAAATACCACCCACTAGGGGAATTGTTAATGGAAATAGATGTAAATGGCTAAATTTCCATACTATTTTAAATGTACTTCATAGGAATTATTCTTTTAAAGATGTATATAATTGTTTTAATAGTTTTTTTTAATAGAAAAGGCAATAATGCCTGGATTTTGAGCTTAACATTTCAAGATTCACTATCTCGTGGAGAGAAAAAAATTCTGGTCAAATTATTGGGCTGATGATACCTTAAATTGGCAGCAGCATCCACGTAGTGGCAAAGAGTGATGAGAGGCTAACCACTGTTTGGCTATGCTTCCCAAAGTGAACCCTAGCCAGTGAAAACAAACACTTAACTTGTACCTGATTTTAACTAAGTGCTAACAGATGGACAGGGAAACTGAAAGCCTCTCTCAAAAATTTCCCACATGTAGTAAGGAGATAAATAAAAAAATTCAAATTAATTTTGATTAGAAATGTGGAAAACTAGACGATCTTTTTAAAATATAATTACTTGTTAAAGGAATCATTTTTGTTGTTGTTGTTTTAGGCAATGGGGTTAAGTGACTTGCCCAGGGTCACACAGCTAGTAAGTGTCATGTGTCTGAGGCCGGATTTGAAATCAGGTCCTCCTGAATCCAGGGCCAGTGCTCTATCCACTGCACCAGCTAGCTGCCCTGAAAGGAATAATTTTTTAAAAGGCAATAATAAATATGAGAGGCAGCATGGCAAAGTGGACAGAGTTGACTTCGGAGCCAAGAAGACCTGGGTTCAAGTTCAACCTCTCAGTACTTCCAAGGTAACTCTTTAAGATTTTAAGTTGTAGAGAAGGTGCTGATCTGCACTGGAGGAGGGAGTTCTCCTGTTTGAAAGTTCCTCATGCCAAAGAAATCATGGGTCCCGTCCCTATCCTGAATAATAAACACGCCACTGTGAAGTTATTTTTTTTCATCTCTTAGCTACTAGAATAAAAGCTGCGTATTTTTTTTCTCCTTCAGATGAAACGCACTGTTCTATTAGAGGTAAAGATATTAGAGCAGCATGTTTCAGAAATTCTTGGAAAATGACAGAGAAATTGTTTTGCCCATCTATTTATTTTTACTAGTGTTTTGTTCTTCTTTTTTGTTCTTTCAATTGAGGAAGTGGATATAATGGGCATTGTATTTCTTGCCTTCTCAATGGGTGGAGAACGGGCAGGAAGAAGGGAGAGAATTCAGAACTGAAAATAAAAAAAAATAAAATCAATTGGGGAAGTGGATGGGGGGGATTTGTTGTTTGGTTGTGTCTAATTCTTCGTGACCTCATATGGGATTTTCTTGGCAAAGATACTGGAGTGGTTTGCCATTTCCTTCTCCATTCCAGCCCATTTTATAGATGAGGAACTGAGACAAATAGGGTCAAGTGGCTTGCCCTGGGTCACACAGTTAATAAGTGTCTGAAGCCACATTTGAACTCAGGAAGACAAGTCTTCCTGACTTCAGTCCTCCCAACTCTATCCACTGTGCTACCTAACTGCCCTGGGAGGGAAAAAAAATCGGCAGCCAGGTGGTACAATGGACGGAACACTGGCTTGGAGTCAGGAAGATCTGAGTTAAAATTCAACCTCAGACACTCACTAGCTGTGTGACCCTAGGCATGTCACTTAACCACATTTGCCTCAGTTCTTCATCTATAAAATGGGGACACTGGAGAAAGAAACGGCAAACCACTCCAGTGTCTGCCATGAAAATCTCATGGACTTGTCCATGGGGTCACAAAGAGTCAGATATGACTGAAAAACAACAAATTGAAAAATAAAATTAAAAAAAGAAAATGAGAGATAAGCGGATTAATAATAATAATGATAATAACTAACATTTATATGGCACCAATTTATGTGCCAGGCACTGTGTTAAGCACTTTACAGATATTATCTTATTTGATCCTCACAACAATCTTTTAAGATACGTTCTATTATTATCCTCATTTTACAGATGAGAAAACTGAGGCAAACAGAGGTTTGTGGCAAGTAACTTGCTCAGTCACATAGCTAATAAGTTTCTGAGGTCATCTCTGAACTCAGTACTTTCCAACTCCAGGCCTAGTGCTCCATCCACTGTGCCACCTAGCTACCAGGATAATTATTAATCTAATATACATCTGCTAGACAGTTTTTATAGATTCAAATTCATGAATGTTACCAATTTTTAAATTGAAAGGGATCTTAGTCCAAATCTTACAGATTGAATTAAAGCCCTGCAGACAGAGCTGCCTAGTAAGCAGGGTCAGACTGCTATGGTCTCCAGGGCCCTTATGTATCTGACATATGCGAAGTCATGGCATCAAAGAACGTCAGTACTAGAAGGGACCCAATGGAGTAAAACAGCCCCCTCATTTTATAGATAAGGAAACTGAGTGACAAAGCTATTAAGTGATGTTGAAGGTGTCATGACCCAGTAATTTGATCTTCCTCCAAGCATGGGAAGGTCAGTCTCAAGGACATGTAACTCACAATCTAGGTAGTATTACCTTTTTTTTTAAAAATTGTCTAAGGTCACAGAAAATAGTTTAGTAGACAGAACCTGAATTCAATTCTAAATCCTCTCTTCTTTCTTGATACTTGGTAGTGTTTAGGTTTTAGACAAGTAGCTTTTGGGCAGATAAGCATGACTTCCAAACAATGGCTTCTCCTTGGACTTTTTTTTTTCTGTGTGTAGGATACCGAGGCCATAACTTCTAGTTTACTGAGTTTTGCCTACTATGAAAGCAATTTTTAATTAAGTGAACTAAATGAAGTCTATATTTTGACTTATCATTTTACACGTCTGTCTATTAATTTCATAATAACTCAAGAAGGAATTGGCTGATGTTTGCTAACCTTGGTAAAATACTAACAGGTATCAAGATATAACACAAGTTCAGTCTATGCTTTGGCCAGCCATATTGAAACAACAGCAGCCAAGACAACTTTTGAAATGGATATTTCTATTAGGAGTTAAGGCTATAAAGACAAATTATCTTAAGAGGAAAACAGGCTCAGTTTCCCATTTTAAAACAAAATCTGTCATATTACTAATACTAGACTACACTGGATAAAAGCAAAAACAGTCATTTACCAGCACTGGCTAATGTTCACTGAACGTGTGTTAGTTACTTTGCCCCCAAGAGAAGCTCTCAGAACCACTTCTTGCTGCTCTTCAGTTATGTCTGACTCTTTGTGACCCCATTTGGGGTTTTCTTGGCAAAGATACGGGAGTGGTTTCCCATTTCCTTTTGCCATCTGCCCTCACCAGAAGCCATATTGGAGGGAAATGTGTGTGTATATAAATATACACCTACATACACACCACACGCACACACACACACACACACACACACACACACACACACACACACATGATTTCTACACTATATAAATTTATACGTAAATATATAAATTATATATGTTCCCTTGTTTTCAGTCATGTCTGACTCTTTGTGACCCCTCCATTTGGGGTTTTCTTGGCAAAGATACTGGAGTGGGTTGCCATTTCCTTCTGCAGCTCATTTAATGGATGAGGAAACTATGGCAAATAGGGTTAAGTGACTTGCCCAGGGTGTCACAACTAATAAATATCTGAGGCCAGATCTGAACTCAGGTCTTCCTGATTCCAGGCCTTGCTCTCTATCCACTGTGCCACCTAGCTGCCCCCTCAAAGTACTAATCTATACAAATAGAGCTACCAACATGCTAACCCCATCCACCATCCTTTTAAAACAATTCCTGAGCCAGAGGTAAGATAAGATCACACAAATCACATAACATACAATGCCTAAACACATCCAGAGTTATTAAAATAATCAATGATGCACATGAAACGATTCTGCTTTAGTCAGGTATTACCTGTGCTGTTCATGCAGTGACTCTACTCTGGTTACAAAGTCTTTACTCTGATCTGGTATAAACTGGCTATCGGAAAGATATCCTGAAAGATGCAGTGAAGAGTTATGGTCTCCAAAGTGAGCTATTAAGAAAAAAAAGGGAGAGGGGGAATTAATGATTAATTTAATCCTTTATTCAGACAGGCTATACTAATAGGAGACAACAGTATCACAGTCAGAAACATCAGTAGTTCTATACATGAGACTAACAAAGATAACACTCCTTGCTATATGCACACAAGGAGGAATTCCCGTCTCAGCTGAGAGCCAGCATGAGTCTGAAGAAAGCTCCCCTTTGGACTAGGTCCCTTATCATGTTCACTGCTGCTCGGTGAATTGGAAGTATTCATTGTATTTGACCACACACAGTACGGCAGTTTAGGCTTAGAACTTGGGTTGAGACAAATAAAAAACTTCCCTCAAAAATAATATGCTAGTATTACACACAAAAATCCAAATCTGGCTTCAGATACTTACTAGCTGTGTGACCTTGGGCCTTGTTTGCCTTAGTTTCCTCATCTGTAAAGTAAAACTGGAGAAGGAAATGGCAAACCATCTCAGTGTCTTTGCCAAAAAAAAAACTCCAAAAAACACAACTAGTCAGACATGACTGAAAAAAACTAAACAAAATTACATTACACGTATCTTTCTACACCTAACACATCACACAAACCTACATTCATACACACACTATTATATAAATTATTTTAGTACTACCTAAGTTTCAAATCTCTATCAAGGGGACATTATTTTTATCATCTCCCTGGCCTATACTGCAACAATATAAATCTGCTTCTTTCTCCTCTGGTCCCTACATAAGTACTTTCCAGTAGTTTTTATCCTCATGCTAACTGATCTCCATAGAGGAGAGCGAGCTTGTTGGCCCCTTCTTCCACTGTATCTGTTTCTTCTAGATAAGCTATCATTTTTTTCAAGTGCCAAAACTAAATCCTAACTCCTCTTTAAAAACCTATGGAAGTTATGCTACCAAGAGACCCCTCTTCATTTCTGTCACTCATCTTGGTCTTGCCTCCTGAGTGAGCATCTTTGCTGAGGATGAACCCTTCCCTGGGACGCCATGCTATTTTTTTTTTTTGGCCAGGTTATCTTTATTCCCACTCAACTTTGCTGATGTGATACCCTGACAATCCACATGCATGTTTGTGCCCTGCCTCTGCTCTCCTGCTAACACATTCCTTTGTTCCCCTCTTTTGTTAAGCTCCCATGATATATGACTTCTGCATCTGGACTGCAGGTTCTCCAATCCTCCTCAGGGACAACTCAATCACAGCTGGGAGCAATGAACTCATTGGGTATCAAAGCCAGTCTGCCCTCTACTGGGAACAGTGGAATTTGTGGTCTCAGAACAACTTAATGCTGCCTGGATTAAACTTATCACAGTACTTGAGAGCTGGAAGGGATTCAGAGGCCAGCCAGGCCAACCCATATTAAAAAAAAATGCCCTTTACAATATATCCAACAAGTTAAGGCCATTCAACTAGTGCCTGAAGACCCCCAATTATAGGGAACAATGTGGCATGAGATGGAGCATGCCATAGTTAATAATAGGTCACTGAATTTTAGATAATCAGAAAGATCTGGGTTCATGTCTAACCTCAGGTATTTAATTGTTGTGTGACCCTGAGAAAGTCATTTAATCTGTCTATGCCTCAGTTTCCTTATCTGTAAAATGAGCGCATCAGACTCAATGGCCTCTAATTCCTACTAGCATTGATGCTGAGTGAAGTGAACAGAAACAGGAGAACACTGTACACAGTAACAGCAACACTGTGCAATGATCAGCTGTGATTGACTTAGCTCTTCTCAGCAACACAATGATCCAAGACAATTCCAAAAAACTCACAATAGTATCCACATCCAGAGAAAGAACTGTGGAATCTGATGCAGATCGAAGTATATTATTTTCACGTGTTGTGTGTGTGTGTGTGTGTGTATGTTTTTCCTCTTGTTCCATTTCTTCTTTCACAACATGACTGATGTGGGAATAGGTTTTATATTACTGCATATGCATAACCTATATCAAATTGATTACTATCTTGGGGAGGAGAGGGAGGGAGAAAAACTTGGAACTCATAATCTTTCAAAAAAATGAATGTTGAAAGTTGTCTTTATGTGTAATTGGAAAAAATGAAATACTATTAAAAAATAAATTCCTTCTAGCTCTAAATCTGTAACCTAAGGTAACCCACTGCACTTTTAGATAGCTCTGTCAAGAAATTCTTCTTTACAGAGGCTCCAAATTTTAACTTTTGCAGCCTCCACCCACTGTGCCCAGCTCTGCTGTCTTGTTCTGTGAAGCAGAATAAGGTCAATCCCTCTTCAACATGGTGGCTCCTCAAATATCCGAGGACAGCTCTCATGTTCTTCTTGAGTGTTCTCCCTAGTTCCTTCAGATCTGGTCTTTATGTGGTATGGACTTAAGGTTATCCACCACCCTAAGTTATCCATTTTGGGTTGCTCTAGATTTGGAAATTTGCAGGAAACTTTGTATGGAAAGACAAGGTGGACAAAGAGACGCTCTCTTGGTTTCCACCACAGTTGTAACTACCATCTGAACCCAGGCAGAAGGTAATGACTGCAGCCTAAACCACGTTAACCAGCGGAAACCCCTTTATCTGTAATAACTACCTGGAGACTCACAAGAGTCTAGGCTGCATAGTGACAGGTGATCAGATGAAAAGGGAGATGCATTGACTGGGTCATCAAAGCAGTGGTACTGGAGTCTGCCCTACACGTGACTATTATGTAGGGTCTTCACCCTAGAGCCTCCCTCTGCCATCGGATATATGAGCTTATTCCCATTCAATAAAAGGGCTTTTTTTTGCTATGGTATTGCATTTCTTACTATTCTGAATCTCCCATTATTTGAGCCCATGACTTCTTTGTGCCATAGCGGGTCTCCATCTTATCTATGTTCTTCCCAAAATGGGGTATCCAGACGTGAAAACCATCCTCTGACCAGGGCAGTGTACACAGGGACTATTACCTCCTTATTCAGCCTCTCCTAACAGAGCCTAAAAGCAGATCTGAGGGTTTTTTTGGCTGCCACATGCCATGATCTTATGTTGAGCTTTTTGTCCCCAAAAGCTCCCATATCTTTTCTGAAAAACTGCTGTCTAAACACTGCTGTTGTTTAGTCATTTTTCAGTCATGTCTGACTTGTCATGACGCCAGTTGGGGTTTTCTTGGCAAAGATATTGGAGCAGTTTGTCATTTCCTTGTCTAGCTCATTTTACAGATGAGGAAACTGAGGCAAACAGGGTTAAATGATTTGCTCGTGGTCACACAGCTAATAAGTATCTGGGCCAAATTTTAACTCAGGTCTTTCTGACTCCAGGTCTGGCCCCCTATCCACTGTGCGACCTCGCTGCCTCATGACCACTATGATACTTACTAGCTGTGTGACCACAAGCAAGTTGCTTAACCTGTCTGAGCTTTAGTTTCCTCATCTACAAAATGGAGATACAACTGGCAATCTTCTTACCTCCAGGACAACTACGTCCCACCTACCACCCATTCCTCATCACCCCCCCCCAAACTGCAATGCAACCTCATGCATCCATGTCTTTACTGTTATTCCTGAAATGCCTGCCCTCTTGTCCCCTTCCCATGGGAAACTCTTTCCCAGCCATTAAAACCCAATTCATATGTCATCTCCTCTACCTGATCCTCTACCCAATGCTTATAACAACCTTATCCCACAGACCTCTCATAGCACTGTTTTATAATTCTCTTAATATACAAAATAAATTAATTATAATTTTCCTTATAGGTATATTTTCCCAACTAACCCACTAGTTGGAATTTGAAGGTGGGGAATAACTCTCTTACAGTATTTCTCAATGATGAGATTTCAATGGGTCAAAGAGTGGAATTGCTTTGTTACTTTTCACATATTACTAGATGACGCTAAAAAAGATCATGCCAACATGCAATTCTACCAGCAAACTACTGGAGTGGGACACAGTATGATGTGGTAGGAATTATGGCAAATCTGCATCCAGGAAAGGCACCCCATCTCTATGGACCCCAATATCCCCACAGAGAAACAGCTCAGAGCTGGAAGGAGTCTCGATAGTCAGCCAGCCCAATCTACAGCCATAGAGGAATGCCCAGCATCCTCAACAAAGAGTCATCATTCAGCTCCAGGGATAGGGAAAGCTGCACATTCTTGAACAGGCCTCATTATTAGAAAGTTATTCCTCATACTGAGCTAAAATCTGCCTTTTCAACTTCACTCACTGTTTCTGTATGTCAGTCCTCTAAGACAGAACGAGACAATTCTAATGCCCCTGCCATTCAAGAACTTGTAGATATCAACAATGACCTTCCATCCTCCCGGAAGAGTTTTTTGCTTCATTCCTTTTGGGTAATAAATCCAGAACAAAATAAAGATGATAACCAGTCTTTCTTCTTATCTAGAAGTGCTGGCTTGGAAAGTTTGCTTTTACAGCATGGTTCTCAGTCCTCCGACCATCTTGGACCCCTGCCTGTAGCCATACCCTCACTGGCTTCACTCTACTTTGTTAATGTCTGTTCTAAAGTGTGGCAGTCAGTCTAAGCTGGACAGAGAACAGCCCCTAGAGAGGTAACTCATATCACAGTAGCTTTTCATTATCATAGTCCTATTAACAAGCTCCATTTCATCACATAATGGAGATACTTATGAAATTGTATTTTTGTCCTATTGATTATTCATGTCCAACTCTGTGACCCTACTTGGGATATTCTTGGCAAAGATACTGGGACTGATTTGCCATTTCCTCCTCCATCTCATTTTACAGATCAGGAAACTGAGGTAAACAGGGCTAAGTGACTTGCCCAGGGTCACACAGCTAGTAAGTGTCTGAGGAAATCTGCTGAGCCACTTAGCTGCCTCTATGAAACTGTACTAACCTCCAATTCATATTTCAAGTTCATTTGGTTTCCTCCCTCACCACCACACTGTAGGAACTGTTTACATTGATCTCAGAGGAATTTAGTGTCCTGATCTACCTCATTTTCCATGAATCTATGGGCTTTTTTCAAAGTATTCTGTGGTTCAAAACAAAGTTCAATTAGA